CCCCCCCCCCCCCCGGGAGAGGTCCAAAATATGAAGTTTTGGGTTAGGCGTCGGCATTTTTTTTGTTTTTATTGGTCGCACCTTGGGTCACGCCATGACATTTCTCATGGTACCTCATTGGGTCTGGGGCACCATACGAATCTTCTCATTGTGCGTCCGTACCCCATGACAGAGAGGGTCGAATCACTACTGAGCTGCTGTGAAGTACCGAGCGCGTCTCCCGAGCGTCTGGCGCTGGATTAGCAGCGTAGGTCTATTCCTCGATTCATCATTGATGGTGAGGGCGGTTGTGCACAAAACACAAAGGTGGACTACAAAATGTTGGGTCGCCTCTGTTTTACAATAGACAACAGCTGGGCCCACTAGACAACGGAGGTGACCAAGATATTACACCCCTTGATCGTGAACATTCTAAAAAAGTTGTCATTCCGCGACAGAAGAGGATATAGCATCTTTTGATCAAAGCAAAAGCGTTTCGGAAAGAAAGCCTCGCGACACCATTCCGACACCCCCACTCTACTGTGGACTACGTCATTATCGATCGGTATAACATGGGCCGGGGGGTATGCTATCTTGTGTCATATACGACACTGACTACCATGTTGGCACCGTTGCACTTTTTGCGGTGGAGATTGGTCCAGCGGGTGTGACATCTTCTATCGCCTACGTTGTGCACAGAAACCTATATATACCTACATCCAACATGGATGTTCGGAGTTTGCAATATTGCAGTACAGCATCGCCTCCGTGGACGTCCGTGGACGTCCATGGACGTTTCCGTGGACAATCCACGGACATGGGTGGACGCGTCCTCCGTGGACCACCGTCCATGGACGTCCACGGACTTGTCCACGGACAATTGTCCGTGGACGTCCACGGACTTGTCCACGGACATGTCCGTGGACATTCACTGGACGTGTCCACAGGCGTCCACGGACAGCGCCCACAGGCGTCTTTCCGGGGTCCATGGACACGTCCATAGTAATGTCACAAAACGTAAATCATTGGCATGGATGTTAAAAACCTCTTGACGGTTGTGTGAGAACTACAGTACCAAGCTCCCCGTTCAAGGGGACATAACGAGCCCCATGTACTTTTTTCGCTTCTTCTGGATGATGCCGTGTCGACAACGTAAAATGGCTCGTTCCTCAGCTATATTTGTGTCCTTGTAACGAACGATGCAGCACCGATTCCCGGCCAACTCTACTAGAGTTGTTGTAGACTACACCTCGTCCACCGCGGTTTCGATACTCCGTGCTCACAGTTCTCTCTTTTAACCTCTCAACCAAACGAAAGAACTCCTTTCCAGGTTGAGAGAAATCCCAAAACAACGCGCTACTGCAGTTTAGGGTGTTGGGGGACGAAGGCGATCGGTTCGAGAAAACGTACGTACGTGAGAAGCCGGGTTCTACAGCAAATCAGGGTTTCCAAAATGGGTGACTGGCTCTCTGGGCTCGGACTGGCTCTCCCCCTTCCACTTCTCGGATGCGCCGCCTCCTTTCTTGCACTTCCGCCGTGTTTAGTTACCCCAACCTTTCCCGACTTCTCCCGTCGTCTCGGGGGGAGAAACGATACTTTCCTGTCAACACGAACTGGGCTGAGAAGGTAGGTGCTTACGTCGTCCCCGCTTGTTGTGTGGCGTTACCTCCGAGAATGGTCGAAGTGCCTTCCAGCATCAGTGAACTATTGATTGATCTCGGAATGAAGGTCAGCGTCGTCAACGGCAACAGGACTCACTGCAGTAGTATAAGTATGATAGATTCTGCTTGTATACTACTGAAGATGATGGACTTTGGTGATAGGGCGCGTGAGAAAAGGTGTGTAGTGCGTTAGACAACCCCACAATGGACGCCTCATTGGCCAAGTGACTGCAGTAAATCTTGGATGGAAAGTTACAACAGTTTGCGAGGTATAGATGATATGGAACTCAGGGATGGACAAAATACTGTTGTTTGTACAACCAAGACCGTTCTACCAACATCCTCTGTCGTCATTGATGTCGACTATTCGTATTCAGAAGCCGTGGTGTCGTACGATGGCAGGTACCCGAGAGGGACAAGAAGGGACGAAAAAAGACGTGAAGCGTCGAAATAGAGCCAGTGTCGCAGGAACCATACAGAGCTGTTCGAGCGAACAGTGCCGATTCGAGCATCGAAGAGTTGGATGGCCGCTGATTACTTCGCAGCACGCTCAGTCTTTCGTACAGCCCGATCGAATCTAGCGCGCATTTCTATCGTTTGTTGCTTCGCCTTGCTCGATGGCCGGTACCCGCGAGGGACAAGAGGGCAGTAGTCTAAACGAAGACGAGAAGAGAAATAGAAAACCAAAGCGTCGAAATAAAGCCGGTGTCAAATGAACATTTCCAGCACTTTTGCATCGAAGAGCGGGGAATCCACGAGCACCGAGGAAGTTCACTGATGGTCGCTTCGCGGCACGCTCGGACTTTCTTACATGCCCGATGGCCGTGTTACGGAGTTCTCATCGTTACCAGCTACAGATACTGAATTGCTAGAGTAGCTACCGGCCCGCCAAAAAATAGGACCCTCAAAGGAAGATACGGGGAATCGAAGCTTCACAAAGCAGTCAAGTTGGGGTTGAGCAGCAGCGCTCACCGTCGAACTCTAAACTGTTCCTACTACTGTAGTCTACGCTGAGTTTGATGGTGAGGGCGTAGAATGAAATCGAGCCTGTTCCCCAACTCTTGTGTGGACTGCTCTTCCTTGTTTGTGACACTCTCCCTCGTTTGAAAACCTCCAGTACTTACTACAGCAGTAGTACATGTACCAATTCGTACCTGCCATCTGGAAACTGTTCTTCGTTGATTGAATATCCATTTGTATGTATAGAAACCAACTACTGCTGTACATCAAAGACGGTGTCTGCTGGTCTACATGAAATATTTTCCAACTCGGAAGCGGCTAATTTCGTTTTTCTGCATGGCTGCCTGCGTCCGTCCGACTCTCGAAGGCCTGGAGGTGTTCGGCGCTATGGCCTCAGAAGTGACCGAGGCACAGCTCTCGAGCATTTTCGAGTTCAAGGGGGAGCCATTTCCCGAGCAGCAGAGTATTGGGGCTGTGGCAGGTTTCGTCCGGCTATTGTCTAACCATTGCTCCAACTTGAAGGTGATCAATCTCAATGAATGATCAATAGTCTAAGGGTTGTTACCGTTTGGTCGCAAAAGTAATCTCGGATTTGAGACGAATCCGGATTTCGGAACGAAATCGGTTAGAGTCAGACATCCCTTGATGTTGGGAAATGAAATGACTCTACCTTGTTCAGTCCCCTTCTCTCTCCCGAAATACGCCGGAGCTCTCGAGGAAACAGGAAATACTTGAGAGAGCAACCAGGCCGACTCGCAATACGCGGCGTTCCGCCGCGGCGGCTTCGGCGACTGCTTGGCGGTGGCTCTGTCAGCCCCACAGCGGCTGCGAGCTCACCGGTGGGCCCGCTTTTACTTCCGCTCTTCAACCTGACTGCCAGACGGTCACGTTCGTGGACGCGACCATCGCGGCCTATGCTTCGCCGTGCTACACCGCGCGGGTGTCGGGCACGTGAGGGGGGCTACGTTGGGCCTTGCGGGGGGTCTTTGGCCGCAACCGCATGAGCTCTGCGANTACGCGGCGTTCCGCCGCGGCGGCTTCGGCGACTGCTTGGCGGTGGCTCTGTCAGCCCCACAGCGGCTGCGAGCTCACCGGTGGGCCCGCTTTTACTTCCGCTCTTCAACCTGACTGCCAGACGGTCACGTTCGTGGACGCGACCATCGCGGCCTATGCTTCGCCGTGCTACACCGCGCGGGTGTCGGGCACGTGAGGGGGGCTACGTTGGGCCTTGCGGGGGGTCTTTGGCCGCAACCGCATGAGCTCTGCGATCAGGGCTCGTTAGTTGAGGACGCGCTTTTGCGATTGGGGGGGGGGAGTGCCCACATCTGCGTGCCGCCACTTCCAACAGCGCTGCTCACTGGGCACACGACAAACCAGAGGTGCAATGCCCGCTTCGTGCCAATGAAAATAAAAAACATGTAAAAGTTGTGTGCGAATCTTTGTGGTGCGAGTTGTCCTCCTTGACGCCCTTCGAAATATATTGACTACGCTGGTATTGTGATCGGTACAATAGTTTCACCTTCTTGTTGTACACGGTTAATTTGCTGTTGTTTACAGTACAGCTATTTCTATTTGCATGCGCAGTTGTGCTCGCGACCGTTTCATTCGGTTTGGACGGATCGACTGCACATCGCTGCTGCACACATGCGCTGATGGTCTGGTGTGGTCAGCACCTTGACTCCTACGTCTTGATGGCTGTGCAGCTACACGCGCGTCTCATTAGAGGAATACGAGAGAGAGAGGTCTGGTCGTACCACACTGACTGATTGTTTGCACTGCGATGTCGGTGGGCATGTGTACCGTATGCATGTCGGATGTGTCGAAGTCGTCCTTGGCACGGATGGATAGATTACATCTACATGTATTATGCGGACACCTACAGTATGAATGCACATGTACGGTCTCATGGTTTGTGTGGCACAGGTGACTGATGGCTTCTTGGCAAGAAAATAACCAACAGACGGTTCTTGCCGGCGTTTCCACAACCAACCATACACAGCTGTTTGGAGTTTCAGGTATATCTAACCTTTGTCTATTGTTTGCGGCCTACGCCACTTATTTATCGGGTGAGACTGTTTTGGTGATGTATTAACTTCACGAGAGGTCGACGACCGTCCTTCACACGGACGAAAGAGGGAGTGCTCAAAGAGCGGCTCCCACAGCAAGGAGGGGCCCCGTGAATCATCGCGGTGCCCCCTATCAAACGGTTATCTTACCAGTCTGCGTGACACAAAATCATCCAGCACATGTATCCAACAGCAATGTTCGCAGACTCACGAACACCCTCCCTGGTTCTTCACGCAAGTGACTAACCATCAATTGGGCAAGAACGCCCCAGGATACATCAGAAAATACCAACATGGTAACATATGGAGGGGAAACCCGGCGTCCGGGCAAACCCCTCAAGGAAAAACCGTTCCACCACAAAAAACCGTCGCTATCACAGCGGCTTACAACGGCCGCACTTACCAAAAAATCCAAGGCAAGTGCTAAAAACTGCTACATCTACTCCGGCAAATTCATCAGCTTGCGCCGGTGGTACTGCAGACTGACCCTGCTAAGGGCCTTGGTAAGGAGGTCCGCGTGTTGCTCCGTTGTCGGAACAAACTTGACCGAAATATCCCCCGACCTAAACAATCCTCGGATGAAATGATACCTCACGTCGATGTGTTTCGTGCGACCTGAGCTGAGGGGGTTCTGCACCAACGCTATGGCCCCCTGGTTGTCCTCAAGGACCTTGATGCTGCTACCACTGGTCTCTGGGGCGACAAACGAAAGCACAGCACGCACAAACAACGCCTCCTTGACACCCTCCCCGGCAGCAATGTACTCGGCTTCCGTTGAAGACAAAGACACGATACTCTGCGTCTTGCTACCATGGCTGACTACGGTACCTCCAACCGTCGTCGCCAACCCTGACACCGAACGCCTATCCTCCGTGTCGGCGTAGCTAGCGTCTACGTACACGGCCAGCCCTAACCCCGATCCCCGTTGGTAGGTGATGCCGAGGTCCCTCGTCCCTTTCAGGTAGCCGAGGATCTTCTGTATGGCATCCCAGTGCCGCTTCGCCGGGGCGTGGGCGTGGCGCGCTACCGCACGCACGGCGAACGAGACGTCTGGACGCGAGAAAGTCGACACCCACATCATGCTGCCGATGGCCTCCCTCACCGGCCACTCCCCTCCTTCCTCATCCTCTCGCTTCGGCCCTAGATCGGCACCAGGGGTAGCGGGGATGCGGGAAGTTGATTTCACATCGAAGCGTTCAACCATGCTGTCGATATACGCGGTTTGGGAGATTCTAAGAGTCCCAGCCTCTACATCTCTCTCGATGGCACACCCATCAAACCATTGACACTCTCCAAGGTTTTTGGTGGGAAATTTCTTGTTGAGAGAAGCAAGCAACTCCTCGCAATCCTCGTCAGACCCAGCCACCAAAATGTCATCCACATAAATCACGATAATCATCACCACGACTTCGTCTACCATCTTGCGGAAAACACACGGGTCCGCCTTGCATTGCTCGAACCCGTTCTCGACTAGCGTATCAGCAGCGTGGTACCCCCACTGCCTACCGCTCTGCTTCAGACCATAAATCGCACGCTCAGCCTTAGCAATCTTATGCGACTTGTCCCCGCACCCAGCGGGGAGCTTCAGAAAAACCTCCTCGTCTAGCGTAGCGTGTGTATACGCCTGCTTCACATCCCAGTGATTGAGGTTCATGCCCTTCTCGTTCGCTACCGCAAGCATCAGCTTAATGGATGCGGATGAGGGGCAAGGGGAAGACGAATGGAAATAATCGACGTTCGGGATTTGCGAAAACCCCCTAGCAACCAGACGCGCTTTGAACGTGTCTATCTTCCCTTCCTTGTTGGTCTTCCAACTAAAACACCACTTTGAGCTCACAGGCCTGCGCCCCTCTGGCGCACCGTCTACGAATGAAAACGTCCCCGTGCCCAAGTGCCCTTCAAACTCTTCCCTCATGGCCTGTTCCCACCCCTCTCGGTAAACAGACTTGGCAACGCCGGCTACAGTCATGGGTGGGGCTTCTACATCACTCGGACGCTTGCCTATGGGGGATTCACTTAGCTCGTGGGACGCCAGAGCCGTCTCGAAGGCGTCTGGCGAGTTGAGCATGAGGTCCACCGTACCCAGCAGGAAATCCTCCGCCTCTTGGCGCGCAGCGTGGGCCTCCTGCGCGCGCTCGGACAGCAACTCTCGCACCACCCTCGCCTCTAGCCCCTCCGCCACGTGAAGTACTGCCGAGAGCATCCAGCGGGTGAACTCCTCCGTGCTGCTGTCGGGCAGGCTCGCCACCGAGGCGAGCAGGGCTTCGGCACTTGTCGGCGACGGGGCCGATGTGGGCGGCGACGGGGGCGACTCGTACCTCGGATTTCGGCGAGGGTTCTCCCTAGTGCGGCGGCTGGTGAGTTCCGCCGGCTTGTCGAAGCGGGCGAGCCGCCGGGCCTCTGGCCCACAGAGCGCCGGGAGATCCGTCTCGCTGTCGCTGCCACTGCTGCTGTCGCTGCCGCCGTCATCGACGCTGCTGCCACCGCTGCTGCTGTCGCTGCCACTGCCGCCGCTACCGCGGCTACTGCTGTCGCCGCCGCTGCCGCCGCTGCCGCCGCTACCGCGGCTGCTGCTGCTGCGGCGGTCGTCCTCGCCGCCGCCCACATCGGCCGTGCCGGTCGACGTGGTAGATGGGGCGACGCTCGCGCCCTCCCTGCTCGAGGGGGCGCCATCGCCAGCGTCGCCCGCGCCCGACTCCTGGGGCGCGGCCGGCGGTGCCGCCGGCGCTGCGCGCGCGGGCGGCCCCGCGGGCCCTGGGGCTGCCGTCGTGCCAAGGTTGAAACCTGGTCCTCCATCCACAGGTTCTCTCTCCGCCCTCCCTCCACCTTGGTTCGACGCGCCCTCCCCAACCTCGTCCTCCTCAGTCGCGAATTCCTCTTCCTCCTCTGCGATGGGAGGCAGCGACTGGGGCAGGGCGGCGGGGGCGGCGGGCACGGATTGCCAGGTGAAGTTGCGAGTTGTGATCGCTCGGCGTTTTTCGTTCAAGATGCGCACGCAATCACGGTTGGTGTTGATTCCCGGGCCGAGGTAAAAACACTTTTGGGCTTTTGGCTCGGACTTGTGTGTGCGCTTGACCTTGTATACGGCAGGTTTGAGGAACGGGTACGTCGCCCCCGGCGGGGGAGGGTGCCCGTGCCACATCTCGTACGGCGACTTCTTCTCTGGGTTGGATGTGGTGGAGGTGCAGTTCAGGGCGTTGCATGACCAAGCTATGGCCTCGGCCCAAAGGGATGGGTAGTTCGGTGCTCCGGGGTAAAGAGTTGGCGCTTGGATACGGGCGGCTAGTGCTGCATCCTTGATCAGACCCAGTGCTCTCTCAGCTACACCGTTGTATTCTGGGCTGTGCGCGGGGGTGAACTCCTGTTTGATGCAGTACTTCCGGCACACCCTGCCGAACTCTCCCTCAAAGAACTCTCCTCCGTTGTCAGATCTCACGACCATGACATCGGACGGGGCACCGTTTGCCCGGTTTTCGGCAAGGTATCTCTCGAATGCCTCAGCTGCGTCTGATTTGTGCTTCAGGAAATAGACACGGTTCCACCTTGTGTAATCATCCTTGACAATGAGAGTGTACCACTTTCCCCCCAAGCTCTGCACCCTAGCTTTTCCACTCAAATCCACGAAAACTCGCTGCAGTTTCTTAGCTGCTCGGGTCGACGTTTTGTTGGGGATGGGCTTGGAAAGCCCCTTCGCCGTCGAGCACCCCAGGCACTCCCGGAGCTCGCCCACCAGCGTCGTCCCTTGCTGCTTCGCCGTGGTCCTCAGCAGCACCTCGTGGGAGTGGCCGTGCGCGCAGTGGAAATCGTTGATGTCAACGGGGGTGCTGGGCGCTTTCGCGTTGCCAGGAGCAATTGCGGCACAGGCATGTTCGGTGTGTGTGCGGAAACCGTTTTGGACGTACAGGTTACCGCATCGGGGGAAGTACACCACCTCCCCCCCCCCTCTCTCCAACTCCAACTCGTGTTTGTTGAGGGTTTTGGTTTCGAACCCGTCGTCGAAGAGGGAAGTGAGAGATACTAGGTTGTAGTCTAGTCGGGGGACGTGTGCAACCCGTTTCAACAACAGGTCGGTTGTACCGTCGCGCGAGCTAAGGGTTACCGTCACGTCGCCATACCCTACGATAGGGAAGGTTTCTCCGGCGGCGACGCGCACACGTCGATCACACTCTTCGTAACGAACGAACCCATCTGAGTTCGCGAACATGTGGGTGGTAGCGCCGGTATCGGCAACATACCTACCCCGCCTAGCCTGCTCTACACCCCCTCGACCAACGACTTTGTGACACTCGCCTGAGATGTCACCGACCACCAGCGCTTCTTCTGCCACGTCCAGTGCTGTGGCGTCCGCAGACGCCCTCCCCGCCGGCACTTCCACCACGAGCACCGCCTCTTCGGTCGGGCACTTGCTCTTGTCGTGGCCGTAGCCCTTGCATGTCTCACATCGCACGGGCTTGCTCTCGGGGCAGTTGGCCACCTGGTGGCCCTTCTTACCGCACCGGAAACAGCGACCGCGCATGCTACCCGCATCGTCGTCGCCGCCTCCGCTGCCGCCTCCAGCCTTCGCGCCACCCCCTCTCCCCTTCTGGTTGCCGCCGCCGCCGCCGCCACCCTTGCGGCGGCCGCTGTTGCCGCGGCCCGGCGCTCCTCCCCCGCCGCCACCGTCACTCGCGAGGAGAGCATGCTCCGCCCTACGCTGGCCCTTCGAGGCCTTCCTTCCCTCCGGGAGGCTCGCGTGCACCGTGCTCACGATCCTGACGATCTCGGCCCTATCCAGCGCCGTTGCTGTCTCCAACAGGAACTTCGCTTGTTGGTACTCGGGTGGGAGGGAACCAACGAAGTGGGCGAGAACGAAGGGTTGTTCAGCATTGAGCCCCTTTTCGCTCAGGCGGGCATACAGCAGCTCGAAAGAGTAGAGGTGCTCGATGGGGTTGCTGTTGCTGTGTGTGGGGATTGCAAAGTCGAACATCTTCCGCATCAAGGCCTGTTTTGACCCCTGTGACTCCGGATCGTAGACCTTTTCCAATTCCGCAAGGACCTCTTTCGCTGACGTACAGTTGCTGATAATTGCTTTGTCAGCTTCTTTTACCACAGCAGTAGTGATAAAGTGGAACGCCTGAAGCCCCCGTTGGACTTCTGCTCTCGTGTACCCCCTACGGAGCAGTTCGGAAGTCGGCAAGTTTGGGTCGCCCACGGGGATACTGCTCTCTGCATCTCCTATAAACTGCCCGTCCAAGTCGATGGTCTTCGCAGCTTGGATGAACGACTTGCGCCACGAATCAAACCCGTGGCTACGGCTTTTCCCGTCTAGAAGCGGGGCATTGACCGTCACCCTTTTCTGGTGGCTACTGCTGTAGCCGTCGAGGTATTCTCCATTCCCTCGAATCACGGGTATCTCACCTGGGGGGTTTAACCCCCTCGCTTCCCCGTAGTCCGGTCCTATGCCCGGGCCCACTCCGGCTGGTCCAACAGGGTTCGCTCCCGATCTGCTGGCCCAGCCGCCTTCCAGCAGCGACCGTGGTCCTTGCCCACTATCTCTCGTTTGCTGCTGGAGAAATCCCCCGCCACCGCCGAGCGGCAGCGTGGGCTCTTCTCGTTGGCCTCTGGGGGCAGCAACCCAGCCACCCCTACTGGCTGCATCCGCCACGACGCTGCCAGGCTCCTTCTTCTTCACCGACTCCTCCACCAGGGCCGCCAATTGCGAAATCTGCCGTTGCAAACTTGCAAGCTCCGCGTCGCGGCCCTCCTGCACTGGCGGGCGGATCTGTTCTCCGCTCGCAGCAGCGCGCTCTTCGTCTCCAGCAGAGCTCATCCCGATGTGGCTTCCCTCGAGGGGCAAACTCTAGAGTGTTTGCGGCCTACGCCACTTATTTATCGGGTGAGACTGTTTTGGTGATGTATTAACTTCACGGGAGGTAGACGACCGTCCGTCACACGGACGAAAGAGGGAGTGCTCAAAGAGCGGCTCCCACAGCAAGGAGGGGCCCCGTGAATCATCGCGGTGCCCCCTATCAAACGGTTATCTTACCGGTCTGCGTGACACAAAATCATCCAGCACATGTATCCAACAGCAATGTTCGCAGACTCACGAACATCTATCGCCCCGGTGGTCTAGTTGGTATCCCCGGAATGTTCTAGAGGTCAGGTTGGGGGTTCGAATCCCGGCGTAAGCGAGCTTTTCTTGCAAAGTGAGTTTTTCTCTCGCTTCCGCTCCTGGCCTAGTCTTCTAGTGGATAGCGCTAGTTCGTGTGTTCACAGAGAGGAGAAAGTGCTGAACTCTTCTCGCATCAAAAATGAAGGCAATGTACCGCAGGAGGGGAAAGTAGAGACGCTCTTCTGTATGACCACGGGTTGGAGTAAACGGCACTAGTCTAGTCCTGTGAGCGCTGACTTGAAGTGAAGACAAAAAAAACAAGTAACCAGTTGCCACTCTATTGAGAAAGGCCTGCCACTGTTGCCCGGTGTTCACATCATGGAAGCACATATTTATATGTCATACTGTGGAGAACATCTTCATAAAGGTTGAAAGTCCCCAACGTCCGTTGAGGACGAAACCCTTTCTTCCACAATGGCGTCGACGAAGTGGTGTTGAATGTCTGCTCTAGGTTGCAAAGACACGGGTTCAAAACCCGTTTTCCACCTAATTTTCTTCCGGAGCACGGTTAAAGGAAAACGGCGGGTGGGCTACGAAACGATGCACTCTCTATCAAACTCGAAACTTCAGGCAATGCGTGGCGGAAGTGGCGCACCCGCACACACGCACAGAAGATTGTTGGAAAAAAAAGAGGGTTCTACTCGCCGCCAGCCGGTCGGCTTCCGGTTATTACCCCAAGAAGACTTCTCTTGCCTAGCAAACAAGAAGAAGCCTCGAAAAGGGGGGGGTAATGTGGAGAAACATCTTCATAAAAGTTGAAACTCCCCAACGTCCGTCGCGAATGAAACCCTTTTTTCCACAATACCTATGTAGTCAAAAGTCAAATTCGTGCGACCGCCTGGACCGCCTGGTTGCACTTGCACGCTGTTGGTGTTTGTTGCTGCTGTATACATGCGCCGATGGCACTGCTGTTAGTCGACTCACCACCGTTGCAATGGTTGTTGTTGTTGTTGTTGTCTTCACATTAGTCTAGGTGTTAAACGCTGTTGCCCCCCTATCATTGCGCACGAAATTTCCTCATGACGAAAATCCCTGCACACAGACACGCTGATGTTTGTCCACAGCAGGTTTACGTCTTGTTCTGCTGTTACGTTTGTGCAGCTATCGGCAATGTGGTTGTTAGCTGCTACACGCCATTGCCCAGCTGTTATTGTACGCGCATTTTCTTCATGACGAAACCCCTGCACACTGCACACAGGCACGCGGATGTTCTGTCAGGTCCGCCGCAGGTTTAAGTCTTGTTGGCTGTTACACGTGTCCACAACAACCAACCATCGCTATTTGATGTTTTCACGTATGTATCAGCTCTCCCTTCTTCCCCTCGCTCCTCGACAAGCTTTTGCTTAGACATGGGTTGTAGTGAAGGGGGGGGTCTTTCTGGCGAGCAGGGCTAGACTCACCCTCAAGGGATGACCGAAACCTTCTTGCTGCTGCGCATCCGCCGCGAGGCGTGCGTGTGGTGGTGGAGTTTGGGTCGGCACTGATGGGGTCAGGCGGGAAAATGTAGATGCGCGGGCCTTTCTGGTCGTCGGCGTAGGCAGTGATGCCCATCTCATTTTTGGGCGCGGAGGCAGACACGATCAGAAAGGTGGACGGGCACTACACGGCCCTAGGTTTGCTAGAGGGAGCTGTATTGCCTCAGTAACCTGGCTTCGCCATCAAAGGAGGAGGGAGCAGGTGGCGACGAGCTGAACTAGGCTGGTTGACCATTCGGCGCGAGATTTTATATTTTTTCAGACCAAGAACCTTGAGTGCAACGAGGGAGAAAGCGAGGAACCGACTGGGAAGGACAGCAACGAGAGCGTGTACGGACGGAGCAGGTCGAGTGGCGTTATGCTCGGGCTGACTACAGCGGCGCCGGACGGAGCAGCGGCACCGGAGCATGCGGGCGACATCGACCCGTGGCGCACGGACAAACATTTATATCTGATCTGTGTTGTCAATTTTTCTCGTTTTTTTCCTGATTTTCGGTGTTGGTTCTATGTGATGACGTCGTCACTGGTTTTGTAGAGAGACCCGTCAGAGATGGCGTGGCTAACCCGGGTGCCTTGGTTATGTGCCTGATCGTGGAAGACCCCTTCAATGTGGAACGATTCTTAGCTATTGTCGATATTTTCACTGCGTGCCTAACACAGACGATCGGGAGAGGTTCGGGTGATTGTCCATTGCAATCATGGCTTTGGTTGGTTGTTCTTTTTCACTGTACGTCCGCAGACACATTCTGACAGCACTTCAGACAGCAGCTTTGTGCCCCGCCAGCTTCTTGTTCCATGCCTACCATGGTGTTTTTGTACAGACAGCACTTCAGACAGCAAGTATGCTGTAGTCGGCAATCATTCGTTTTGGTACAGAGTGGGACAGGTAGGGGGTGATGTTACTGTAGTCGAACGGTGAGACGGACGTGTAGTTCAGTTTTGGGCACGCGTACGGTGCTGCAGGGATTATATATAGGTGTAGTAGTACCTCTTCGGGCTCTTGTACACCTTTTTCTTGCTACGTGTGCGTGTTCTTTAGATCCTCAGATGGCTCTAGCACTTTCGTGACCACGGGCCGAGAGTCTTTGCTAGATTTTGGCATTTAGCAACTGGCATACGGTTTAATGTGAAGTCAACAACAACAACAACAACAACAACAACAACAACACCAAGAACAGTAGCGCAAAGTTAACTGTTGGCACTTGATTGCCATGCACAGAAATCAAGGGTATCTTCTTAGGTTTCCTTTTAACTTTCTCCTCCTTTAGTAAATTCGCACACGAGCAAAACAAAAACACAGAGCGGGCGCGCCAGCCATCACAACGCACGCACGCGCCGCCAGCAAACAAGCGTGGTACNGGCACCGGAGCATGCGGGCGACATCGACCCGTGGCGCACGGACAAACATTTCTATCTGTGTTGTCATTTTTTTTCGTTTTTTTTCTGACTTTCCGCGTTGGTTTGTGCGATGACATGGTCACCGGTTTTGTAGAGAGACCCGTCAGGGATGGCGTGGCTAACC